TTCCCTATCACCAGCTTCCTTGACCCCTTCTGCCTTCTGGCCCTTGTCACTGGACCCCTGCACCTCGTTAGTCTCATTTGGTTTTACGGGGCTGTGTGTGTATAAATTTTTGTATGAGAAACTAACTTGAGCTGTAAACTTTCACTTAAAGCACAATTAAAAAAAAAAAAAATCCGTTGCCATCGAGTTGATTCCGACTCATAGCGACCCTATAGAATAGCGTAGAACTGCCCCATGGGGTTTCCAAGGAGCAGCTGATGGATTCGAACTGCTGACTTTGGTTAGCAGCCATACCTCTTAATCACTGTGCCACTAGGGCTCCAGTGGGTTGAATGGTGGCCCTCAAAAAGATATGTCCACATCCTAATACCCAGATCCTGTGACTGTGACCTTATTTGGGAAAAAGGTCTTTGCAGATGCATTTAAATTAAAGATCTCTAGATGAGGTCATCCTGGGTTACCTGGGAGGGCCCTAAATCTAATGACCGTTGTCTATAAGGAACAAAAGAGGAGAAGACACAGAGAAGTCCATGTGAAGACAGGGGCATTCACTGGAGTGATGCACCCACAAGCCAAGGAATGCCTGGAGCCACCAGGAGCTGGAAGAGGCAAGGAAGGATTCTCCCCTACAGCCTTTGGAAGGAGTGCGGCTTCTGGCCTCCAGAAATGGGAGAGAATAGATTTCTGTGGTTTTAAGCCACCAGTTTGTAGCACTTTGTCATGGCAGCCCTCACGGCAGCCCTAGAAAGCAAATGCAGGCTCCAAGTGCAATGCTCCATCCTCTCTCCCAACCAGCTCCTCCCGTGGCCTTCCATTTTCTGTTCGTGTACCTCCACTTCCCCAGACATCTCTGACCCAGCCTTTGCCCTGCACTGTCATCCCATCGGCCCCCAAAGCCTGGGGATTTCAGACCAACAGGGCTCTCACATCCCAGCTTGTCCCAGCATGGACCATTGTAATCAGCAAATCTGAGCTCTTCCTAATACCCAGCTAAGTGGCTGCCCCAAACCAGAAGGTCTTCCTTGCCCATGTCAGCGATTTCCTGTTTCCATGCGACACAGTTCACTCCCTTTAAGTCCGACGTTCAAGGCCCAGCCCCAACCAGCCTCAGGGGACTCCCTTCCTGCCTGTCACAGCTGCTCCATTTATAGATCATTTGCTGCCCCCTGAACACCTGCACGTCCCCATCATTCCCTGCAGTGCCCACTCTTATGTCTCTGCTGGTCAAAACCCCACCCAACCATCCCCATTGCAGGGCCCATCTCAGTAGAAGTTTCCAGAAAGTTCTTTCTTGAAAAGAACAGATGAACAAGGGGAGGGAGATGGACATATTTATTGAGCCTCCCTGAGTGTGGGCAAGCGACTAGTGCCTTGTATAGATAAGGTGTCTCTACAGATGCACCTGATAAAGGCTCACGGACCCCCTCACCTCGACCTGAGTTAGCTTGTTTAATCTGTGCTGCAGTCCTGGGGAGCGTGCAGTCAGCCCCATTTCACAGGCAGGAGCCGAGGTCCTGAGAGGTTGAGCAACCCGCTCAAGGTCAACAACTAGGAAGAGAGCAGAGAAGCCTGAGTCCCATGTGTCCACCCTGCTTTTTCATCAGTCAGCTGTGGGCTTGTCTCATCCCATCCCCTTCCTCAGCCAGCAGCTCCTCCAGGGTAAGGGCAGGGTCTGTTTATCTTTACATCCCCTGAAGTCTTGGCACAGACCAAACGTGGGGCTGCCTGCTCACTGTGCTAAGACACACGCCATCCTGGGGACTCAGAGCTCCTACCATACGCGGGGACGCCCACTTTCAGTAGAAGAACCATAAACACTGACCATTTGTGGGAAGGATGCATTTCCCACAGTGAATGCCTACGGAAGGGCTTCCCTTGATTTCCGGGATTCCCTCCTCAGGTTTATAGACCTGAAGCCACAGGGTGCTGCTTAATTACAGAAATGCCGCAGTCCAGCAGTGCAGTGGCCCCACACATGGCCACATATTCTGGCTTATTACTTCCCAGAATTTCCTCTGTCCCTGTGGCCCCCATCTCAGCCACAAGAGTATCTGGCACAGAAGGAATATTAATAAACACCTCAGGCTCAAGGGTGCCACCGCCGAGCAGGGCGGGGCATACCAGGGCTCCCCAAACTCGTCCCCTTCCTCTCTCTCTCCTCTGTGTTCTGTACCCATCCGCAGCAGATGCTCAGGAAAAACCACACTTTCTCACTGGGGCAGGGAGGGGAGGCTGCAGCAAGGCAAGGTGCCAAACAGCAAACACACTGGCCTCGTGGTGGAGGAGGCACGGGGGTGGGTGGTTTGAGCAGGACAGACAGCAAATACAAAGAAAAACAACAAGGACACAAAGCCCTCCTTTGCATCCCCTTTCAGAGACGAATGGGGATGGATGGAACTAAATTGCTAGTTCCCCGTCACTGCCTTCCTTTTGATCTGTGGAAGGGAACAAAGAGAGACCAGCTCAGAAAGACAGCCTGGCTGGGCCCCCAGGGTTTTTCCATGGCCATAGGAAGGTCTCCCCACACCCCACCCTCCCCAGCCCACCCTCTCTTACCCACGTCCTGGCTGGAAGGGATTCTTGCCCCCATGCAGTGAAATCCCAGGCTGTTCTTCCACCCCAGTCCCCTGCGGCTTGGGCGGCCCCTGACACAATGCCTGGGCCCCAGCTGGGCTGGGGGAGAGGGGTGGAGAGGAAGGGAGGCGCTCAGGGCCTCCTGCACACACACATAGACACACACACACATGCGCCAGCTCTGAGCCCGCGAAAGATCTGAAAACCTTTCATCTTAATAAAGGGGACCAGCAAGAAACACGAAGGCAAGAGGGAGGCCAACCCAGTTGTAAAAATATTAAGAGCTTGCGGTAGGCTTCTTTGCTTGTGTTGTCGGCTGTGGGGGATCTGGGCTGAACAATAGAGCCGGGGTGTCCGCCTGCCCTCCCACTCCAGGGCCGTGTTAGTCAGGGCAAACCTGTTCTTCTTCTCTGAGAAAGCTGTGGGCCTAGACCATAAGGCGAGGGACAGTTAGCAAAATCACTCCCAGAGTTACCCGTGACCGTATACCGAGAGTCAACTCCCCGTGAATTACACAAAACAAAATCTCCACCACCAACATCCACCTCATTTTCCTCCCAGCCACGGGGATCTAGTGACAACCAGTGATACATACTCTGTCCTGGCTTCTGCTTGAAGGCTGTGCTGGGCACACAGTAGGTGTGCAAATAATTTCTGAAGAGTGCACGAACCAGTGACCCAGTGACATATGGTGTCAGACTGGGGGCGGGCAGCAGATAGCAACGAGACAGTGTTATGTTAACAAGGTTACACCCTGCCCCCAAGGCCACCCAGAAACAGCCCAAGCTCCTCAGCCAGCTGACCACTTTGCAGAGGCTTAGAGGATAGCAGCTAAGGGGCCAAACTCGGACGTCAGACTGCTTGGGCTTGAAGTCTGGCTCCACCACTTGAGGTGGTAACAGTGCCTACTTCACTGTGTTGTTGTGTGCATTGAGGGAGGCGATGGACGCGTAATCACTAGGCTGTTGTTGTTAGCTGCTGTCGCGTCAGCCCCAGACTCCTGGTGACCCCATGCACAATGGCGACTCCTGGTGACCCCATGCACAATGGCATGAAATGCTGTCCAGTTCTGCACCATCCCCATGATCAGCTGCGGATCGAACCATGGTGAACCATACGGTTCTCACTGGCTGCTTTTCAGCAGTAGATCGCCAGGCCTTTCTTCCTAGTCTGTCTTAGTCTGGAAGCTCCACTGAAACCTGTTCAGCATCACAGAAACACACAAGCCTTTATGGCAAACGGGTGGTGGCTGCCCATGAGGTACACTGACATTGTAATTGGTATTGGTGATAAGGTCAGGTCTCCCTTTTGGCCTGTTAAATCCTGCTGGTTGTATCCTAGGACTCCTCTGGGAAGAGGGGGTGTGACCAGTGTCCTGGCAGCTTCCCGAGAAGCCCTTGGACCATGGTTAAAGTTATCCCCTGACTCATTGTTTTCTTCCCCAAGCACAATCTTCCCAATTCCACCTGGCTGGCCTGGAGCCCAGTGCATTCTTCCACAGGCCCCAGGGGCTGACACAGGAGAGGAGGAAGTTTGGGGACCTAGGAAGCTCAGCAACCCCCGAGCCTGGCAGCATTGATACTGACAGCTCCTCCCCTAGGCTCTGAGCACCTGGGAGAAACGGTTGTTTGTCTCTAATGCCCAGCAGTAGAAGGGAGCAGGCGCTCCATGAATGCTTGCTGAATGAACGAATGAACGAACGAATAGTCAATACTGGAAACAACCTTGCTGCCTTTCTTTACTTTCCAGGAGTACCCCCGAGTGATGCAAATGGCTAAGCACTTGGCTACTAACTGAAAGGTTGGTGGTTCGAACCCACCCAGATGTACCTCGAAAGAAAGGCTTGGTGATCTGCTTCTGAAAATTTATAGTTACTAAAAAGCTACAGAACACAGTTCTACTCTGCAACACGTGGGATCAGCCTGAGTTGGAAATGACTCAACAGCAACTATTTTTGTTTGTTTGTTTGCTTGCTTGCTTTTGGAATTTGAAATGGGGTGAAGTGGGAAGTCCTGGATGAAGTAACTTCTAAGTCTTTTCTCCCTGGGAAGCACCCCGAAGTCAACCAAACTGCTAACAGCGGTAGGTACGTGGGAAATGTGAGAAAAACTTTTCCAGATTGAGCCCTGGAGACAGACCACAGCCACTCTTGGTCTGGACCAGCCTTTATCAAACTGCAGGCAGACTCATGCCAACATTTACCAAGAAATTACCCGAGGAATGAGCCCAACGTAAATGCATCTGACCTACAGCTGCCCCAGCTGCCTCTCCCCTTGACACTCAAGTCCTTGCTCTGCGAGAGCTTTCTAGAAATGGAAGACAAAGTGGGGATTACAGGAGTCGACAGAAATTGGGTGACAGAGGTGCAGACAGAGTCTGTAACCCTTGGCACAGGTGCGAGACACTGACATGCCATGAGGTGCTGTCGTTGTTAGTCACCATCAAGTTGATTCCAACTCATGGCGCCCCCACGTGTTACAGAGTAGAACTGCTCCATAAGGTTTTCTTGGCTGTAATCTTAACAGAAGCAGATTGCCGGGCCTTTTCTTCTGCGGTACTGCAGGGCGGGTTCGAACTGCCATCCTTTAGGTTAGCAGTCGAGCGCAAACTGTTTGCACTCCCTAGGGACCTTGGACATGCTGTGCGAGGGCTTAGTAAACAGCAGCCAACACATCACACTTACTGAGGCTCAGGCCTCGTGCAAAATGTTTCGCGTGTATCATCCTGTCTATCGTCACAATAAACTCTGAGGCAGGCACTATCCCCATTTTACAGACAAAGAAACCAAGGCACAAAGAGATAGAGCCACTCATCCATATCACAGCGCTCTTAAGGGGCTGAGGCAGGATTCGAACCCAGGCCCAGGTGACTTTCAAGCCTATGGTCTTTCCGTGATCCTGGCCGCTCAGTGACTAGGTATCTGTGAAACATTAGATGTGCACCCGTGGACTCTCCTTCCCCATACTGTTTAGGGAAGAGTAGGGGACAATTTCAGTGAAATCTGGGCATGGAGTTGGATTTAATGAAACTACTTATGAGCCTCCTTCCACCCAGAGGTTCTGTGAGTGTGATCTGGGATACCTGAGATGGCTTTTCAGCCAGAAGGAAGGGGGAGGTCTCTGCACTGATCAGGAAAAGGCAGTGAGGAACCTTTTGACGCTGGGTGGTGGGTACGTGCCGGGGGAGGCATCAGGGAGGAAGTAGAGGACATTTTGGGCAGCACACAGGGATGAGACCCAGGCATCCCCTGCTCTCTTCCCCTCCAGCCCATTCATGCTGAAGCCCTGCCTTCTCAGTGACTCTGGAACAAAGTCCCAGAAAACAAAAGGAGCCTTTCAGGAACTTCAGGCAGGTCCCAACTGCTGGTAAGAAGGCTACTGAAACAGGCTCCCATGAGAATAGTTTGTTATGGGTGCCTGGTTTTGCCCCACGGGCAGGGCCAGCATTCTGACAATGCCTTCCCTTATGGTCTGATGCAGGTTGGTAGGAGACTCCCCTGCATCTGCTGCAGGGAAATGACCCAGGAGGGAGAAAGGAGGAGCAGCTCAGAGCAGCTACAGAGCCAAGCTCTAGGCAGGACCCAGCGCCCCTCCCTCAGCGAGTGTCCCTCTGGGTTGTTTACCTGGAAGTGAGTCATTTGACAATTGTGGGCTCTGTGTTTTTTCTAGGGGCTTCCATCTGAGGATCTCAAAGTGCTCTGAATGTTATCTGGTACTGGCTGTTACTAGCCCCATTACACAGACAGGGAAACTGACCTGCCTCTGCTAATATCGTACAGTAAGTCACATCAAGAGGGGACCAGACTGCTCAGGCCTGGAGGTCGGTGGTCTGCCTATTGTCTTCTCCCCCGTGACACTCAAACTTGGGGGGGTTCTTTATGACACCTGCACATTCCCTGGGCTATGGTGTCTAGGCAGAGGCCTGGTGTGGCAGCAAGAGTCTAAGGCTCTGGAGGCCGTGGATCTGGGTTTGAGTCCCGCCTCTGCTATTCCAGCTCTGTGACTCTGGCCAAGTCCCTTGGCCTCTCTGAGCCTGTTTCTTCACTTGTAAAACTGGGATAATACCTATATGCAAAGCCCTAGGCTGGGGCCTTGCTCACAGTAGGTGCTCAATTAATGAGACAATTGTTATTTAAAAAGGTTATTCTACTTATATGAACAAAGGTCATGACAATTGATTTGGGGGTCAAATTTATAAATACAAGCATAGTTTGCAAATAATCTTCTCCGTAGACAATAATCTAATTTTCATTTATAATCCTGAAAATGCTATGTTCATATAAAAAATAGGGCAATTACTTTAGCCACTGATATGCTGGATACCAGGGAAGCTATGTTAAAGCACATAAAGTTATTATACCCAGCTGCATGAAGCAAAAACTTTAATCGAATTTCTTGGAGGAAAGGCAAGGGGATTTCAGTGCAATTTCCTGTTCTGACAATCCTTCAGAGAGCGACCTGCCATGTCACCTAGCTTTTCACCCTTTTCAGGCCAGAGAACTCTCCCTTTCCTGAATCTTTCACCCCTTGTGCTGGCATGTGACAGGAATCAGGGCTTTCTGCCTCAAGGAGAACAGTACCACCACCACCGCCCATTGCTGTCGGGTTGATTCCGACTCATGGCAACCTCACATGTGTCAGAGTAGAACTGTGCTCCATAGGCTTTTCAACGGCCGAGTTTTCAGAAGTAGATCACCAGGCCTTTCTTCTAGGGCATCTCTCTCTGGATGAACTCAAACCTCCAACCTTTTGGTTAACAGCTGAGCACGTTAACTGTCTGCACCACCCAGGGACTCCAGGAGAACAGTAGGCTTCATCTTATAAAATGCAGCTGAAACCACAGGTTTCCAAATTAAGAGCATCAGAATTTCCAGTAGAGTTCAGCTTTGTAAACATGCTGTCCCAAGGGCCTCCCTTTGGTGAGGCTTTGACACCCACGGCTGTTTAACAACAGTTCCATAATATCAGGTATATCTCCCACACCTCCGACTCCCTGCACGAACTACTGAGAGGAAGGGATTCCATAGGTTTAATTTAACCCACCAGAAGTCCCGGGAATGTTAGAACTGGGTGAGAGGTGAACTGTGACCTCATTTCTATTTCCAGTTGGTACTAAGTCTCAGGGCAACGGATTCCATACATTCTTCCTTTCGGTGTGCATTTGACTATAAGGCTCCATGAGGCGCTGAATCCCTAGCACAGTGCCTTCCATATCGTATGTTCAATTTATCGAATTGATGGTGCAATAAATTAATGAAGGTTCTGTATTAAAGCAGTCCCAACAGTAAGGACATAGGCATCCTTGTCTCTTATTTTCTTTTGGGGTTAAGGGTGAAGAAGGGAAAGCCACTTCTCTAATCTCATGACTAATCCAGCCTGTCCTTTCCTTACCCCTCTTCACAGATTCGGGCACACTGGTGGCCCAGTGGTAGAATTCTCACTGGAGTTTGATTCCCAGCCAATGCACCTCATGTGCAGTCACCACCCATCTGTCACTGGAGCCCTGTGTGTTGCTACGGTGTTGAACAGCTTTCAGCAGAGCTTCCAGACTAAGATGGACTAGGAAGAAAGGCCTGGAGATCTACTTCTGAAAATCAGCCAGTGAAAACCCAATGAATCCTAATGGTCCGATCCATAATCGATCATGGGGATGGCACAGGACTGGGCAGTGTTTTGTTCCTTTGTGCATGGGGATGCCATGAGTTGGGGACTGACTCAATGGCAGCGAACAACATCAACATCACAGATTCAAGCTGCAGGAGGGGGATGCAGCACTGTGAAGGCCACTGAAAGAAAGCCCACTGTGGGAAACCTGCTCCTCGTTCCTAGGTGCAGCTCGGAAGACCAGACAAGACTGCAGCTGTCAGCTCTTTGCCTCTGTCAACCCCAAGGCCCGAAGGCCCATCACAGACAGGCTCACAGCCCACACCTCGAAACTGCAGCCCATCCTCCTTCCCTCCCAGTGTCGGGTCTAGCCTCTGAGGGACACACCTGTGGATGTCACGGCGTCTTTGCTCCTTCCCTCTAACATGTGTCTTTCAGTTGGGGTTGGTTCTCCTTGCTCCTCCCTGCCCACCTTTACGGTGGAGATGTTGCCTTGGGCAACGGTGATGTCACCTGCAAGGTGCTTCCATTCTGCTGATGTCACGGGGTGGGCCACACAGGTGGAGGGGGAAAAGTGCTTTCTATGGGAAAACATCACAGGTACCAAACTGCTGAGGAGCATCCTTTCGACCTCTTGGGCTCTCCAAATGACCCCCTTCCTCTCCCAGAAAACCTTCTCACCCTACCCTCCCTCTAGATGCCTGGTACAGGCGATGCCTCAAACCTCACCTTCCCTCTCCAGAGTCAACTGAAAGGTCAGGATGAGCAGCTCTGTCCTCAACTCTGAGCAAACCACCCTGAAGGGCACTGGTCATCTCCTTCCACCATCTGGGGTGGCTGGGGTCCCTGCAGCCTTGCCCTTTGCCCAGACCTCAGAGGGGGTAGCAGTGGCACTGACGGGACAGCTGGGGTCCAGTTCCGCAGGGAATGTGGGTCCCTGTTGACCTCCACTGTCCTTAAGAGCTGATACTAGCCAGATTGGTGGCTCTATGCCAGGCATTGTGCTAAGCACTGTATACGCATTGTTTGGCTCAATCCTTACCACAGTGCTATTAGAGGCTATCCCCATTTTACTGATCATGAAACAGGCTTGGCATTGTCAAGGCACTTGCCTGCCCAGGAGCACCCAACTACTGAGCAGTGGAGCCAGGACCCAGGCAAGTCAGTCTGACTCCAAAGCCCATACGGGTAACACTTCTCTTGGCTCCGATGTACCTGGAGATAGTGACTCAATAAGATGAGCCATGTGGGTACCTGGACACATCGGGCCTGCCTGGGCCCGCCTGGATAATACAAGATAATCTCCCTAGCTCAAGATCCTTAATCCCACCTGCAAAGTCTCTTTTGCAATACATGGTAACATACTCACAGGTTCCAGGGATCAGGACGTTGTCATCTTTGGGGGACCATTATTCAGCCTACCATATCATGTAACCTAAGGCCAGTTTCTGCCATCTGTAAAATGGCGAGGTGAGGCTAGATGTTCTCCAAAGTTCTCCACTAGCCCTGTCAATTCTATAATTCTGGGTAGTTTTAAACCCAAGTGCTCATAATCTTATTGTGTAGAGAGCACTTATATACAAGAAACAACTAAAGAACCACCAATAGTGAAGTGGTATCCCAGAGTAACAGGGTTGGGCCTTGGAAATAAAGGAGAGAAGACTGACCTCTGACAGTTATATTATGAAATCAACACATAATAGATCAGAATAGGAATGATCAAGCTACTGTTAAGAGACCCCTACACCAGCCAAATCAGACTATAATTTAAGTCATTATTGCTGTTATTGTTAGGTGTCATCAAGTTGATTTTGACCCATAGCAACCCTACATGACTGAGGAGAACTGCCCCATAGGGTTTTCTAGGCTGTAATCTTCATAGCAGCAGATCGCCAGGTCTTTCTCCAGTAGGGCTGCTGGGTGAGTGTAAACTGCCAATCTTTCGGTTAGCAGCCGAGTGCTTAAACATTATGCCTCTAGGGTTCCTTCAGTTAAAGTCAATAACTTACCTGAACAAAGCATGTATTGGAGCCAAAGCGTGTAACGCACTAAATGAATATATAAATAAAACAAAAATCACTGAACTATGAAAGAAGAAAGGAAGAAATTCTACCAGGTAAATATGGCCTTTGAGGCACTGGCCAAGGAGGTGCCCACAGCTAAGCTGACGCAAGTATCTGGTCCACCTGGCACAGGCATCACTCCGCTGGTGAGAGAGTCACTGGGGTGAACAGAGCCCCCTGCTGTTAAACACTGCTACCCCTGCCTCTGTTAAACAGAGCCCCCTGCTCTTAAACACTGCTAACTCCAGCTTTGCCAACCAAACAAGGCACCTTCTGGTCTTTGGTTTCCCAGGTCGTTTGCCCAGGAAGCAGGGAACAGATATCATCTAGTCTGCGTGATAGTCACAAAGTCTCCTTGCGAACTAATAAACTGGTATTCTGATTTGGATATCCACTTCTGGGGTTTTTCTAAGGGTGACTCAGTAGCCCCAGTTCAAATCATTCTGAAAACTGCAGAGAGAGGCTTTCTGGGTAGGCACAGCTAAGAGCCAGCCCCTGGGACAGGTGATGCCATCCAGATAAACGCCACACTATGGGTGATCTGCTGGGCACCAGCCGGCCCTTCCCAGGGGACATCTTGATTTCCTCATTGGCCGAGAAGCCTTTTTTGTTTAAAGCGTCTACAGACAGTAAGTAGTAAAATGCTCCATTCCAACTAATGAAGTGCTGAAATATACAGTGTGGAAAAGAAATGATTACATATATGAAGCTGTGACGTGGAGCTTCAGGAAGGGTTTTGTGGATGAGCTCGGGAAAGGGTTTGGCAGGTGAACAGGATGTGCTTAGAAAAGGGACTAGGACACGGATAGGGATGGGATATTGGAAGTGTCAGGATACAGCTGTGGCCTTTTCCCTTGGCACCACATCCAGGTGGCACTTAACTCATCACTCTTATGCCAGCCCCCAAACTGGATCTGCTGCCTCACACCACCCAGCGATTAAGAAGGAAAGTCATCCGATGCTTGGCCGAGGCCTCCCGTCGGCTCTCAAGGCTGGGCTTGTCTCTTTCCTTTCTCTTGCCAGGTGAGCTTTCCATCCCTCCTCTGCCCGGGCTGAGAGCAGGTATTTTCTCCTTTGACAAGGAAAAAAAAAGATAACTACTCTTCCCTATTTCCCATGAGGGCACCTGACCAAACTAGCGTTTAAGCTTAATCTGCTTCTTGCTCTGTGAATACTCAATAACCGGGATTCAGCCTCCGGGGCCCTGAACACTTTTCTTCTCCGGGCGTCAGTGTCCTCATCTGTAAAATGAGGATAATAATACCTACCTCATAGGGCTATTGTAAGAAGTAAATGAGTGAATACAGGCAATGTGCTTTTGGGGGAAAAAAAGATCCTGGGAAATGTTAAGCTCTCAATAACTGTTAGTGATCAGGGCTGCTATGAACGGGTGTACAGGAAGTATACTGCTCCAGGGCACCCAGCTGAGGGGGTGCAGATGAATCCAGCCCACACACCGCTTGCCCAGCCTTGTGCCTTGGCTGTGTCCACCCACATGAGACACCTTTTTCTAAATGTCACCCAGGTGCTGTCATCTTGCCCAGCCAGAGGGAGCACCTTATTCTAATTCACACAAGGCACCAATAGGCTGGCAGCAGTCCTGAGAGTTATTATCATTAGCTCTCTATATCCTCACGGCTATGCCCCCCTCCCCAGCAAGACTGGATGTGAGGGGCCAGGATGGACTGGTCTCAGTCATGAATAAAGTCCCTCTCCTCAGCTCCCCAGCACGCCTGGAGCAGGATACTCCTTCCCAGAAAGCCCTCAGGCTGCCGCACCATCTGTCCCTTACAAGGGGACTCTCAACCCCAAATATGGAATCACAGATGCTTAGACTCTGAAGGGACCTTCTCCTTCCTACTTGTTGATGGCTACCTGCTTCTGCTCACAATGGCAGGTGGTACATTACCTACTGGGGCAGCTCCAGCTATTGGAGGGTTCCGCCTTACCTTGCACTGAGCTCTGCCTCCCTGCCTCTCCTAACAGTGAGTCTCTGAAGCTGTGGCAGAGCAAGTCTTTGCCTTTTCTCAAGTGACAACACTTGAGATACCTGAAGGCCACAGTCACATCCCTCTAGGCTTCTCATCCTTGGGGTAAATATTGCCCATTCATTCCCTTCTCTTTCACAAGACCTGCTTCCCAGAGCCTCCACTTCATTCCAGCCCTTCTCCTCTGGACAAGTTCAGATTTAACAGCAGTGTCCCTCCTAGGAAGTGGCATTGAGAACATCAGTCCAACCATACTTGCTGGGACCCCATGCATGGGGTGCTTCTCACTGTCACCCCGAGACCCACCACCCTCTTCGTCAGACAGAATCCCCCTCCTTCCTCTCTTTACTGACACCATGGAGTCCAAGAAGGGAAAAATACAAAACCATGTTTAAGTTTCTCCCGGACAAAACCCTCTCAGGTGGCCAACTTTCTCAGAAACCTCTACGCAGACATTCCTCCCCCATTCTTCTGCTCCGAGAAAAAGTGCACCCACACACCCTATCCTTTGTTTTCCTCATGGGCACTGCAGGAGGGGAGAGCCTGTTCCTGGTAAGGTAACAACTTCTGGGATGATAGCATTGGGTTAAAAGTTCGTATCTTTAACCCCTGAAAGTCTGAAGCGTGAAACTGCTGCATCTTTGAAAATTACCGAGCTAGAGGATGGCACAAAAAAGCTTTTCCATCCACCCAGGGAGAGTGGAGAGTCAGTATAACCACTTAACGATTACCCACAAGTGGAAAATATGAGGGCAGAATGGCCTGCAGCAGCAGCAACACAGGGAATTAGCAAACAATGAAAGCCCTTTAGGCACATAGGCGGGAGGGAGCCACTCAGTAGCAAGACCTCATTATGTTATTAATAAGGTGGTGAGTGGCAGTAATTCTACCTGTGTCTGTTGCTGCTAGTCTAGGCTCCAGAATGCACCCATCACGGATGAGCTTTAGCTGGCAGCCTCTCCGAAGTAGAGCTAGTTTGTAAAAGGAAAGGGCTTTGGGTCAAATCCAAAGGAGCAACAAAAAAATCAAAGACTACACCAAATTGATCTAGATTCCAAAGAGCTGCAGTCAGGATGTTGCCAGTATAGGGGCTCTTCTTGGTTTGAATAGGGGGACGGAGAATAGGGGTTCCTTCTGACACCAAACAGACAGGCAAAAGACAAGGTACAGTACTTTGCTTTGGTTCAGACGGTATTTTCCCTTCCGGGTGGACAGCATTTTTGCTTTTATAAAGAGAAGGCGCATTTAAGATGGGGAGGCCGGCCTGGGGCTTGAGTCCCTTCACCTGGCAGCTGAAAAAGGCGGAGGCACTGGGAAGGGGCTGGGCATAGGGTAAGGGGGTCTGGTGGCAGCGGCTATTTGTAGCCCCAAGACTAAGTTCTGCACAGCGTGGGTTTCTTCCATTAATAGTCCCGAAAGAGGAAGCTACCGGGCTTTAACCGGCCGGAAGCAACCCCGTAGCTTCACTACCTTAAACCAAGCAAAACCAAACTGCACTCCTACTCTTTCCTTGTAGGAGAGGAGGGAAGGCAGCTAAGGTGCTGGGAGACCGGTCTTTCTTTCCACCGTAGCACTCTGCTCAGACGATCCAAAGTAACGGATCGTCGCAGCATTAGGAACAAAACACGTGGTCCGGCTTCGGGCTCAGGGCTCGGCCACCCCGCTCGGTGAGACCCGGGGAGGAACTGCCCGCGCGCCCGGCTGCAGTTAAGCGCCCGTCGACTCCAAGGCCCCGGCGGGGCGGCGACCTTGGGCACATCACCCTCCGCGATAAAGACAACGCACGCCGCCTTCGCATGGGCCTCTAAAGTCAGCCCCTAACCTCTGGTTCCCCGCGCCCCCGCTCCAAGCCGCCATCTCGCGCGCAGCTCCGCCTATTCCCCCGTCTCCATCGCGCCCTCTTCCCTTCCAACCAACACACAAGGTTACCGGAGAAGCAGCAGACCCTCGCGGCTGCGGGCCCGACACTTACGTTGAGCCCTCGTCCCCCACTCCCCGTCGGGGAGCCCCGCGAGAGCCAAGGCTGAGCGGCCGGTCGGCAGGCTTGGGCGCAGCGTTTGCAGGGGGCCGCGGCGGAGCGTCCGGCCAGGCGATTAGGGAGATGGGGGCGGTGATGCCCCTGCCGGTTCCCGCCTTCTTGCCTCCATCAGCAGGGCTCTAAAGGGCTCCGGAGTTACTCATTTCCTGGATGTCACAAACTTTTTCCTCCTTAAAAAGAACAAAACACCCGCTTCTATCTCGGCCTCGAAAACTCCTTAAGGAGGACCGTGCGAGTTAGGAGTGGCAAGGCCCAGGGCCCTCCGCGGACGGTCTGCCCAATGACGCCCCCAGACACTCGGTCGGGACAGCAGAACTGGCGTGTGGCCAAGTAAGACAGGATTTGGGCATTGGAACAAACTGGGGCGGGTGGAGAAGGGAGCAGGGAGGACACCCTTAAAAGTCTGTCTAGGCCTGCGGAATGGAAGGGGTTAAGCCCATGCGCTAAGTCCTTGCGTTTTCAGCGGCGCATTTTACAAGAGGTGGGATTCCAGGGGCCACCTAGGGCCATCTATTTTGTCCCCTGGAGGAAAATATAAATCAAGACACCACAACGGCCCTTTTCTCTTTTGCAGCTTGAGCAGATTAAAATAACTCACCAACTTTTATAGTTAACTAATGCTTGTTGCCCTTCTCCTTGAGTAAACAGACACGAAGGAGAAAGTAACAAACACATGCTTTTATCTATAGAGGGCGCTTTAGTTCCCAAATCTTGATTACAGATGATTCTCACACCCTGTGAAATTAGTTGGGTCCAGTACTAGTGCAGCTATTTCAGAAATGAGAAGACTGAGACCAGGAGGGATGCCAGCAACAGCAGTATGAAACTTACGTTGTTGGTAGGTGCCATCAAGCAGCTTTAAACTCCTAGTGACCCCATGTGGCAGGGTAGAACTGCTCCCATAGGATTTCCTACGCTATAATCATTAAGGGAGCAGATCGCCAGGTCTTTCTTCCGCGGAGCCCCTGGCTGGGTTCCAACCACCCACCTATTGGTTTGTAGCCCAGTGCTTATGGGTTGTGCTAGCAGGGCTCCTGTTATCTGTATTATCTTTCCTTTGTGACTTGCCCAAATACCACAACCAGTAGAAGTGGGTAGGCAGGGCTCGACTGAATTCTAC